TATGAAGCTGAACTCTTTTTTCTTTTCTTTTTTTTTTTTTTGAGACAGTCTCGCTCTCTCTCCCAGGTTGGAGTGCAGTGGCGCCATCATAGCCCACTGCAGCCTCGACCTCCTGGGCTCAAGCAATCCTCCCACCTCAGCCTCCCAAAGTGCTGGGATGACAGGTGTGAGCCATTGCACCTAGCTGAAAGAAATTTTCATCAAGAAAGAAAATTCACCCAATTCTCCCTCTCGGAGCCACTCTTTCCATTTTTCTGAGTTGCATTTTCAATCCTTGATGACACAAAAACAGTGAATACTAATAATAAATGGTAGGTAACAATTTGGATGGTATGTACCAGGCTCAGGGCAGTGAAGCCACTGTCCCCAGGCAATGTATCAGGCCCGAGTGTTCAGGATACCCTTAGTGAGCAGTAAACTAAGCTCTAAAGGCACAATCCCACTGGACTGCTGGTCTCCATCTTTGTAATGGTTACTGCTTTGCTCTATGGTGAACGGGCCCTCCCACTGCTCTGGGCTCTGCACGGCGATCATTCTTATTGGCTGCAGAATACTTTCTCTGGGGAGCAGATGGAGCTAACATTTAAATAGCACTAACCATGTCAGGACCATATTCTGGGTTCTTTAACATCTATTAACTGACTTAATCTCTCCAGAAGCTTTCCAAGGCTGGTCCTCTTTTAGTCCCATTTTACAGATGAGGAAACTGAGGCAGGGCTAAATCAAGTCATCTGGCTCAAAGGCCCACAGCTTGCTAGCGGTGGAGCTGGACTTTGAAGCAGGAGCCTGAGGATGCCGTCTTTACAGTAATAGGGCTGTAACCAAGGTCTTCTCAGGACCTTGGGCCTTTGGGGCATCTAGGTTATTTCCTTGGAAAGCCAGCCCTTGACATGGGCTTTTTTTTTGAGACAGATTTCATTCTGTCACCCTTGCTGGAGTGCAGTGGCATGATCTCAGATCACTGCAATCTCTGCCTCCCATGTTCAAGCGATTCTCTGGCTTTGGCCTCCCTGCTAACTGGGATTACAGGTACACACCACAATGCCTGGCTTATTTTTGTACTTTTAGTAGAGACAGGGCTTCACCATGTTGGCTAGGGTGGTCTCAAACTCCTGAACTCAGGTGATCCACCCACCTCGGCTTCCCAAAGTAATGAGATTACAGGCGTGAGCTACCATGCCCGGCCGGCATGGGCTTTTTATGGTTTTGAAGCAACCAGCGTCGCTCTAAACCTGCCTTATCTCATTGCAGCAATCTTTGTATACTCCTAGGGAGACTGGTGGGGTTCCAGGATGGGGCGGGCAGGATTCCAGGATGGGGCATGGGCTGTCACCCTCATCACCGTGAGCAGAGCTGGTGTGAGGAGTGCCGCATGGGCAGGGACGCCGCCCCTCAGAAGGTCGCCTCCATCGGGGCTGCCAGGCCTAGGGCCCGTGGTCAGTCTGCACTGGCTTAGCTGTGACTGCTCAGGGAGACCCATGGGACAGGACATGAAGTCACAGGTACGATGAAGGGATGGGCGGGGGGAGCAGGCTTGGAAAACATCGTGTGTCTACCAGTTTTGTCCTCCGGTGCCAAGCTTTACGAGGGACTCATAAACTGGTGTGCGTCCAGAGGAGAGAGTACAGGAAGCGGAGGACATGAAGCTGGAGCCTGGGGCTTGGCCTGGCACAGGAGAGAGGCTTGACAGAGTGACTCATTCTCGCTCATTGCTGCAACCTAGGCCTGCGGGGGCCTGGGTGCCGGGGCAGGAGATGGGTGTGAGGGAGTTGCTGGGGCAGTTTCTAGCTCAGTCGGGCAGATTTTCCAAGGGAGCGGTCCAGAGATGGCACAGATAAAGGCAGGAGACTCCGAGCTGAGGTGCAGGCCAGTGCAGAGCAGATCTGGGCACGAGGCTCTTCTCTCAGGTCCCTTCCTGCTGAGTCTCAGCTTCTAAGCACAGCCTGGCATGAAGACAGGGGCTGGCCCGGATGACTCTCCTGCAGACTCCCCTGGCCCTGGGATTCCATTTCTGGCTTGTGGTCCTGGCCACCTGTTCTCCTAACTCTCAGAGGCAGGCAGCCTGCACCAGGTGGCTGGTCGGGTTTTCAGCAAAGGGCTCTCACCTGGGCTCTGCATAAGACCACACTCCAGGGACTAACCGGACCTCTGGGGTGCACGTCCTTGGGAATCCCATACAGAACAGGCTCTGGGGGTTCCTGGAGATGCCCCAAATCCTCAGCCATCTGCCAATGCTCAGAAGAGCCTTGCAAGTTGCCTTGCGTAACCCTCTCCATTTACAGATGGGAAAACTGAGGTGCAGAGCGAGGCAAAGACTCCCTAATACCACAGACTAAGTCAGTGCAGTGTGAACCTGGGGTTCTGGCTCCTTCTGATTCCAAGGTTCTCTGCTCAGGGGACGATGCCTCCCTCATCCCTGGGGTTATGCTGCCTAAGTTCACATCTTGCTACCGTTCCTGAATAGCTGTGTGACCCTGAACAAAGTTTTTTTCATTTGTAAAATAAGGATCAAAGGATTACTGCAAGGATTGAAAGAGATAAACCATGTAAATAGCTTAGCAGCATGTCTGGCACATGAGAGCTGGATAAAAGCTAACTGTTATTGGTCACTGCCACCATCGCCACCATCAGCTAGACATCAGCAAAGAGATCACGGGCACAAAAGCACTCTATAAAGTGCTGTGCATATTCAAGATACAGTTTTCGCCATGAGGTGATTCCTAGAGAAACACCTTAAGAAAACGGGTATCTCCTGGAATTCATGTAGACGGAGGACGATGCCACGCATCTGAGCACATGGACTCAGGTAGAACTGGCTTTGAAGGGAGGGAAAGAGGACGACGCCAGGGCCAAGAAGCCATGAAAGGTGGAGGGAGAAGACTGGGAGGCACCCAGTCTGGAAGACCCCCTCCCACCCCGCTTGGTGTGCATTCCAAGAAAGGTGGCTGCCCAGAGTGGAGTGAGAAGGCTGCTGCTTTGTGCCTCAGTTTCCTCATCTGCCTAGTGGGATGGTAATGTATCAAGCTTGGGAGAGTTGCTGGGAAGAGTAATTATTAAATGGGTTAATTCACGCAAAGTGCTTCGAGTGGGTGGCACGGGGAAAGTGCCCAAAGCACTTTAGCCATGACCTTCATCAGCATCACCACCCAGTGCAGTGGGCACTGGCAAAGGATGTGGCAGGGCTGTCAAATGCTCCGGGTCTTGGGACCTGCCTACGCCCTGGGATGCTTCAGGGTTGGGGGTGAGGAGGCAGGCAGATGATAGGCAGGGGGCGCTCTCGGTCTTGCAAGAAAACATGAGGAGTCAGCAGGGGCCGGTCACCAAGGCACCCTGGGGGGCTGTGGGGAGGGGACGCTGAGGGTGGGTGGAGGCCTGGGGATGGGGAAATTGAGGTTCAGGGGGCTGCTTCTCCAAGGTCACCTGGAGAGTAGGTGGGTTGGAGGGGGTTCCCTGATGTGGCCCTTGGGACCCTGGGCCAGGGAGCTGACTTGCATGGGGTGACTGGCCAGCCCCGGGGAAAGCCCACCTGTGGAGTCAGAGTGGGGCCCAGGACGGAGGCCAGGGACTGGCCTGGCTGGAGCTGGGTCTGGAGAGACAGAGGGCGGTACCTGCCTCCCGCCCGCAGTTCAGGTGAGCTCAGGTGCCTCTTCAGGCTCCTGACATTGGTGGTTCTGAGGGAGCAGCAGGGTGGGGTTGGGCCAGCAGGCTTTGGCCCCTGTGAGCTGTGGGTTTGAATTTTGGATCCTCACTCACAGCCATGGGTCCTGAATATATCTCTGCCTTCCTCTGAGCCTCAGCCTTTTTGCCTTTAGAATGGGTGCACGGTACAGCAGAGCGAGCAGAGGCTTTGGAGCCAAACAGGCCCAGATCCGGGTCTTAGATGTGCCAATTGCTTGCTGTGTGTCCTTGGGCAAGTTGCTTGACTGCTCTGAGTCTCAGTTTCCTCATCTAAAGACAGAACTTCCACTGTTGTCTGGATCAAGCTGATAAAGGGCTTAGCGTTGTACCTGGTATGCATGTGACTAGTCCTCCCTAAGTTGTGGCTCATAAGGCAATGGTGGTGATTATTATTTTCCTGATCTTCCAGGATATTTGCAAGATAACAGAGATCAAAGGCCCTGGCTCTGGGCCTGGCACAGTGCCAGTGCTCAGGAATCGCCCTTAGCCAACAGAAGCTGATGTTTTAACAGGCAGTGCAGCGGGCAGGGTGGGAGATGACCATTGGACACTGCTGACCCTTCCCCACCCTGCTCTTAATGGGAGCTGGAGGTCTCATATCAGATCTCTATGGGAACACAGTGCTTCTGGGAGGACTTAGGCCTTAGATGGGAAAGCAATTCCCTGCCAGGGTCCCCAGGCCCTCCCCTAAAAGGGCACTTACCTTCAGCCCATCAGGCCCCATGGGGCCACTGTCACCCTCCAGGCCTGGCTCTCCCTGGAAAGGGTAATGGAGAAAGAGGAGGAGATGTTACTGGGAGGAGGCCCCAGTGTGCGTTTCCTTTCTCACCACCCCCTCAGTGGGGCAGGACCCTGACCCACGGATCTCCAGGCAGTGGGACTCTAGAGGCCCAGACACACAGTAGGTGCACAGTAGCCAGGGGCTGAATTAGCAAATGAGCAGGAGGGTTGAGGTGCCCACCCTCAGCTCTCCAGAAAGGGGGAGCGGACCCCCAGGCTACTAACAGCTCCCTCCGCGGGGCAGTGTGGGGTGCGGGCTACACGAGGTCATGAATTTAGAAGGTGCCTGTCACGGATTGGTCCTGGACATCATGTCTAGGCTGAGTGGCTGGGCTGAGGAGGTGGCGTGGCCTAGTAGTCAAAGACAGGCTTTGGCTGGGCGCGGTGGCTCACGCCTGTAATCCCAGCACTTTGGGAGGCCGAGGCGGGTGGATCACGAGGTCAAGAGATTGAGACCATCCTGGTCAACATGGTGAAACCCCGTCTCTACTGAAAATACAAAAAAAAATTAGCTGGGCATGGTGGTGCGTGCCTGTAATCCCAGCTACTCAGGAGGCTGAGGCAGGAGAATTGCCTGAACCCACGAGGTGGAGGTTGCGGTGAGCCGAGATCGCGCCATTGCACTCCAGCCTGGGTAACAAGAGCGAAACTCCATCTCCAAAAAAAAAAAAAAAAAAAAAAAAAAAGACAGGCTTTGACATCAGCCAGACATCAGTGTCATTCATTTCTCAGTTTCTCATTCACTGGCTGTTTGACCACAAGCAAACTACTCAGCTCTCACGGGCATCTGTTTTTTCCTCTGAAAAATGGGGCTGACACCGCTTCCTTCAAGGGTTGCTGTAAGGCGCGGTGTAAGTGTCCCACACACGGCAGCCGTGTGCAGTATTACCACTGGAGCTGGAGTAAGCCTGCAGAAGTCCTCAGTGGAATCCCATTTCTCCGAAGAGGAAAGGGAGGCCAATCTTTAGACTTCCTTGCTAGCAAGCTTGGGAATGACAGCAAGACACTGAGTCCCTGGCCTGCCCTCAACCAGGCTTGCCCTTCCAGCTCCAGAGATGCCCCCAGACAACTGAGTTCTCTAAATGGCCATCCGATTAAATTTGGGTATCTCTCTGCTTTTAGAATTCATCCCTGTTCAGAGTCTGAGCTGGAAAGGGCCTCAGGGACCATCAGATGCAGGATGGCAACAACGTGCCAACTGGGCAGTCTGTGCTCCTCTGGCACCCATGGTGGTATCACTTATCAGCCTGCCGAAATGCAAGCTCCAGAGATGGGCCTCTGTTACCTCACTGCTGTGCTCCTTCTGCCTCGAGAAAAGGGCATGACATAGTGGGCACAGGATGCGTGCTCATCATTCTCTTTCCTACCGAGCCTTGACCCAACCTCAGGATCCTTCTTTTTTTTGAGAGGGAGTCTCGTTCTGTCACCCAGGCTGGAGTGCAGTGGCATGATCTGAGCTCACTGCAACCTCCAATTACCAGGTTCAAGCTATTCTCCTGCCTCAGGGTCCCAAGTGGCTGGTTTTATAGCCGCACACCACTACGCCCAGCTATATATTTTTTTATTTTTAGTAGAGACAGGGTTTCGCCATGTTGGCCAGGCTGGTCTCGAACTCCTGACCTCAACTGATCTACCTGCCTTGGCTTCCCAAAGTGCTGGGATTACAGTCATGAGCCACCATGCCCAAGCTTAGGATCCTTCTTAACATAGGCCCCCAAGGAGACTCTACTGATCAGTCTTTATGGACACACAAGACTTGCCAGCTCAGGCCTCCAAGCTCCACGCTCATCCTCTCTCCCCCCATGGCCGCCCTCTTACATTCTAGGTCTTAATTTTGTGCCGTAACCTTTGGGCCACGGGTAATACGAGGCACTGGGAAAAAGAAAAGTTGAGAAACAGAAAGATTTGGGCTGGGGTCCTAGAGGCCCTGTGACCTGAGACCCACACTAACTTCCTCTCCCTTTGCGCCCCACCTGTCCCCCCTGCAAAGTGCAACGGGACACCTGCTCTGTATCCTCACAGTGCCCCTGGGGTCTAGATTCAGGCTAGTCGGGTTCTTAGGGTGAGACAAGCCTGGTGCGTTTCTTTTGGAAAAGGGAAGACAGCTCTCTGTGGAGCAGTTTTTGGGGATACCATGTTGTGTTTTTCCATGGAAGTGCTGGGGGTCAAATAAGTTTGAAGACCCTGAATTAATCCCAAAGAAACCAATTTCTTGACTGCAGGCCTTCTCAGAGCCTTGAAAATGCTGCTGTTAATGTGTAAGAGGGAACACTGAACAGGCAGTGGGCCTCAAATATTTTGACCACAAAACGCCTTTCTCTTCACTGTGGAAACGCTGGCTTACCAAGAGAGACTGGCAAGGCTGCAGAGGCTCATGGTCTATTTCTATAACTGGGGAAACTGAGGCTCGGGGAGATTGAGAAAAGCCCTTCTCTTCCCCCCTGCACCCACACCCCCTGGGGGCTTTCAGGGAAAATAAATTTGCTTCAACTTACCCGTTGCCCAATGAGGCCCTGCTCCCCAGGGGTGCCCAGGGGTCCAAGGTCACCCTAGAAGAAGCCAAACAAAAGTCCATGGGGGCGGGTAGGGCCAGCCCCAGCCCACACCACCCCTTCCTGTTTCCACCAGCTCTGACTTAGGGTGGGGGAGAAGGCGCTGGGGAATGCCCTTCTTCCCAGGGACCACAGAGAAATCGTGAAACACCAACCAGAGCTCGCATTCCAAGCAAGCCTCGGCCACGGGCTTCTTCTCCCATGCCGGGACAGAAGGACCATTACCACCACCACCACCACCATCTTATTCATAACGAACTGTGCTGTTCTGAGGACTTTTTTTTTTTTTTTTTTTTTTGAAACAAGGTCTCATTCTGTCGCCCTGGCTGGAGTGCAGTGGGGTAATCACAGCTCACTGCAGCCTGAATGTCCCAGGCTCAAGGGACACTCCCATGCCAGGCAGATTTGTAAATTTTTTGTAGGGGGAGTCTTGCTATGTTGTCCAGGCTGAGGCCATCAGTTTTTATATGAACATATTTGACTTTCAAGACAACCCTGCAAAGAAAGGTATTCTTTGAGAGGTGAAGAATCGGAGGCACTGGGGGAGTTCAGGAAGGAGCCCAAGCTCTCACGAGACTAGGCAGTGACTGATTCAGGACCGGAACCCCGGGCAGCCTGGCTCCAAGAGCCTTGGATACAGCAATGGCAACTATGTGATTTTTATCTTCCTTGAGAGACTTCTTGAAGAGAAACCCAAATGAAGAAGAAGCCCTAAATGAGCCAGAATACATGTCACGTGTCCCCCGCTTAAAGGCCCTGAAAGGGTCTTTCTCACTGGAGAATTTTCAAGCTATGCATCGTAGGCATCCCTGGTGTCTAGGGGCACAGAGGAGGGCAGAGCTCTGAGCCCCCAGCCCTGCTCCAATGGAAACAATCCCACTTCCATCAGTTTTCTATGTGGGGTGGTTTTCTTCATTGGTATTTGAACAAAGGATTTTGGAACTAGGCCAAGTCTGAGCGCCCTAGGCCTGGTCCAATTCTCTCTCTGAGTGACAGGGAGACTTAGGCACAGAAGGGGGTGATTGGCCTGAAGTCTCACAGCCCCTCTGGGGCTCCCCTGGGCCCTGCCTCAGCAATGTCCATGGGCCAGCCAGCATCACTCATCAGCACTGGGGCCTCCCAGGGGAACAGGGTCCTCTTCCAACAGCAGAATAAGGAGGGGCTCTCCTCAGAGCCCAGGTATCAATGGGCACCTGTTTCTTAGCAGGTAATGAGCAGCACTGGCGCTGACATGCAGATGGTATCGCATGAGGCCAGGAGGTGCAGCCACCCCAGATGGAGGCAGGGGCAGGTGTCCCAAAAAGCCCATTGCCTGGCAGTGGGCACGGGAGGGGCTTCACACTCCACTGTGGCCACGACCAGGCCCCATGCCCCAGCCAGGAGCACAGAGAACCCATTATCCCAGCCACAAGAAGGGCCCATTTCGCTTCTGTAGACAGGACATGGCCGCCAGCTGGGAGCTGGTTTCAACAGTCACTTTTCTCTTCTTTCATCCTGCTTCACCTTCATCCCGGCTTCCCCAGGAAGGCCTGGTTCTCCCACTGCACCCGGCGGCCCCTGCAAGAAAATGCCATTGGTCCTTCCTAGAGCAAGAGCTGCCCCCTGGTTGTAAGCAAGAGGGTAACAGGCCCAGAGAGGGCAAGAGATGCGTCCAAGGTCACACAGCACAAGAGATGCAGAGGTGGGAGTAGCCTGCAGCTTCTTGGAGCTTGGAGCTAGAACTAGGGGGTGGGGGGTGGGTCCGGGCTGGCTGAGCTTCGGGACTACCCAGAGGCTTCTAGGTCCTTCTCATGTCCCAGGAGTGTGGTTTACCACACTAGGAGCCCCTTGGCAAGCACAGGGAGGAAAATTTCATGATTCACATAAAGACAGGGGAGGAAGCCAATGGATGCTGTGTTTAGGGCCAAGTGATTCTAACCCTTCTCTCCGCAGCCGACGCAGCATGAAGCGGTCGGAAAGCGGCCCTCAGTTATCACCATGAGCATGGCTGCAGCCCTCGCATAAACTCTGGGGCTGGTTTTTCCCTCCAGATAAGGCAGGGTATCTGAGCTCCTTCCAAATTCCTTGCCACATGACCCTTGGGGGCTGGATCGACAGACAAACCTCCTTGCTGGACCAAGTCCCAGCAAGGTCAAGGTTGGGAAGCATCACTGCTTCCAATGATGCCCAAAGAGGCAATGCCAACCCCCACAAGGGTCCTGGCACTGCTGCGTGCCACCCAATGCCCTTGGACTAGGAACCCAACTCCTCATCCTATGCCACCAGGATGGATCTACCCTGTCTGCCAGGGCGTCCACCCTTCTCTGCAGTACACGGCCCATGGCCATCTCCCTGGGCCAGGACAGGGAAATGGCAGAAAGAGATCCCTGGGGAGGAGGGCAGGGAAGGGCTGATACATCCCCAGTGGCATCATGGGACATATAAGGGTCTCTCACACTCACCTTGGGTCCCATCTCTCCTGGAGGCCCAGTTGGCCCCTGGTGTCCCTGAGGGCCCTGGAAGAGACAGACAGACACACAGACAGTTGGGAGAAGCCAGCCTGGGCCCTCTTTGGGATCTGGAGGGGTGAGTGAGGGAGCTGACCCCCAGACACAGGGACTCTGAAGCACACCTCCAGTCTGCCCCAGCCAAACCGAGGGTGCTGGTGTCTGCAGCCCCGTCTTCACCACTGGTACCTGTCATACTTCCTCCAACACAACTGCAAACTCTCCTACTCACCCACCTAGAGCCCAGGGGGCCCTCCCTGCTCAGAAACCTCCTAGCTCGGGAGTCTTGCTCGTCTGTTGCCACTGCCTGGAGTGGCCTTCCACCTCGGAGCCATATCTGGAAACCCCAGCCCCAGCCAACCCACTGCTCTAAAGGGTGACTCCTCGGGCCTCAAGATGTGGGAGTGCAGCAGCGACCTTGGGGATGGGTGTCCTGTCCTCCCCTGCCCCATGTGGCCGTCATCCTCCCAAGCCTGGAGATCCTGTCCTCTCCCCGCCATCTCTAGTAGTACTACTCTCAGCCTCCTCATGGGGCTCCCCAACTGTCCCCCCACACCTGTCCTTCCAGAGACATCTTCTGGAGGGCAAGCTGATCGCCTTTTCTGCCTCAAGCCCTTCCATGTCTCCTGTTGCCCTTGGGACAAAAAGCACACTCCCCCTGTGGTCTTGGGTGACTGGTGCCTGCTGATCCTTCCCACCCTTTCTGAGGTCCCACTTTCTACTCCAGTCATGCTGGACTCTGCAGTTCCCCCTCAGCTTGTTCATTTACTCTTTTTTTTGTTTTTTGAGAAGGACTCTTGCTCTGTTGCCCAGGCTGCAGTGCAGTGGCGCGATCTTGGCTCACTGCAACCTCCACCCAGCAAGCAATTCTCGTGCCTAAGCCTTCCAAGTGGCTGGGACTACAGGCACGCGACACCACACTCAGCAAATTTACTTTTGTGTGTTTTTAGTAGAGACGAGGTTTCACCATGTTGACCAGGATGGTCTCCATCAATCTACTCACCTCGTGATCTGCCTGCCTCAGCCTCCCAAAGTGCTGGGATTACAGGCGTGACCCAACGCGCCCGGCCTCGTTCACTTTTATCTCCCCTCCCTCCCTCCTTCCTTCTGCCTTTCACTGCGCCAAGCACTCCCTATACATTTTTGCATTTTTATCTTCACAACAGCATGGCAAGATAGAGACAATCCCCCCATTTTCCTGGCAAGAAAACAGGCTGGAGGCCCAGGGAGCTGAGCCTCCAATCCAGAGCTCCCTGGCTTAGTGCTCGCCACCAACCCCAAGCCCTGGTGCATCGGGGGTTAGAGGCCAGGCCTGGTCCCTCTCAACCCTTCTCCTTAACTGACCACCTGGCCCACACCCCCAGCTGCAAGCAGCAAAGAGGCAAAAGGGGGAAGGAAGGGCTCTTACCGGTTCTCCTGGGAGGCCCTTGGTGCCCGGGGGGCCTGAGGGACCCGGGATGCCCTGCAGAGACAAGGCAAAGGTGACCTTAGGCCTTCCATGGTCTTCTCTGCCCGGCCTTGACCTCAAGCAAGCCGTCCTAGTGTATTGGGTCCCCCCACCACACCGGGTGACAGATGGGAAGGCTGAGACCCAAAGAAGAGGGAGCGTGCTGAAAGGGCTTCAGTGCAGGGCGGGTGGGCAACCAGAGCCTTCGGGGTTTCCACAGAAGGACAGGAACTTGGTTAAAGTGGTTCTTATCCCCCTGTCCCTGTGACCAAAAGCCCCACGCAGAGGATGTAAAGAACTGGTGCTACTTACAGGAAAGCCTCGCGAGCCCAAGTGGCCTCGCTCACCAGCCACACCCTGGAAGAACATGTGGGGGTCATTAGAGGCTCAGGTCACAAAGCAGGGAGCAGGGTGGAGGCCTGCAGCTGGCCTGCTTGGCCTTGGCCTGACATACCTGCTGTCCAGGCTGGCCCGGTCTGCCCTGGGGTCCTGGAGAGCCCTGTAGGAAGCAGAGCACATGAAGGTGGGAGCGGGTGCTTGGGAGGACCCTCCCCCAAAAAGGGACCCCTCCACATGGGAGACAAAGGGAACCCATGAGGCCGCAGAGGCCGCCCCCTCTCCACTGAGCAGATGCAAAAACTAAGGCCTGGCAAGGGGAGTGGCTTGCCATTGTCACCAGCTGCTCCGGGTGGAGAACCAAGGACCCCTTCCTAGGGATGGGGCTGTCAGTGGCCTGGTGGGGCTTGGAGTCTGGGGAAAGGGTCAGAGGACGTGTGTGATCTCCCTCCTCCTTTCTGGCTTTCTCTTTACTGGGCCGGCAGTCGGGGGTCGGGAGGAATGGAAGGGCCAAGCTCTCATTAAGAGTCCTGCAGCCTCCGTGGGGCTCCCTTCGTTGTTCCTAAGGGGCGTGGTTCTGAGGAGGTCTGAGCCTTGTGTCTGAATCCTGACCCAGTGTGGGAGGAGTGAGGAGGGCAGGTCCTGGGGGGCGGTACCTTCAGGCCCCGGGACCCTTGCTCCCCAGCTGGTCCGTCCGGTCCTCGGGGGCCCTGGAACAGGAACAAGGGACTAGCACACTGGACAGCAGGGGTCTCCCTCGGGCCAAGAACCAGGAGGGCGGGGCTGCCCAGAGCCTGGGGCCTTCCCCTGCACAAGCCCCGCCCCCTCCTCCTCCCACTTCCCACACACTCCCGCCGAGGTGGTCACCCTCGGGCAGCGGCTGCAGACCGCTCTACAGAGGCCGCAGCATGAGGGGACTCAGCTAGAGTCCGAAACTTCCAGAAAGGGGACTGGGGCACAAATGGCCCTGTTCAGAGATACCTTGGGGGTCACCCAGCCAATCCATTTCACAGACGTGGAGACTGAGGGCCGCAATTGAGATACACGTGGCCACGTCCCCACAGCCAACTCTTCAGACTCTGCTGCCACGTGCCCTTCCCAAAGCACACACAGGGCAGAAACAGGTGTGTGGGACACAGCCCTTGGGGGAAACTGACAGAGCAGGACCTGGCAAGAACCTTCATGTCCTTCCCAGATGTGCAGAGCAGCCCTGTCTCTAGCCACACGAACTAGGAATGCAGCCCAGCTCACAGACGAAGACCCACTGCGAGGCGGGGGCAGGAACAGGGCAGGAGTGTGTATGAGGGGGTGAGAGTCTGGCTGCTGCTCACTGGATCCCTGGGCTCAGGCCTGACCCCTGGCACAGGAGGCTCGGTCCTTGGTTGCTGGGAGACCCCAGGGGCAGGTGGAGTCCACCCCCTATCCCCACTGCACAAATGAGGACACCAAGGCATGGCCAAGGGAAGTGACTTAGCCAAGGTCCCTAACACATTAGCTGCTGTCGTCCCCCATGTGGGCTCCACCCACTGCCCACGTGTGTCCCCTCCAGGGGCACTCCCACAGAGACACACATGGTCTGGGGTCTCCTGGAAAAGAGCCTTGGGAAACAGAATGGGCTGTGTTCTCTAGGGGGTCTCAAGAGGTTTGTGTTGGGGGGACAGGAGTGTCCTGTGGAGGAGGCTGCCCATCCCAGCTCAGGAGCCCAGGGGACCAGCCTGCAATATTCCCCCAGATAAAAGGAACTGGGGAAGTGTCTGGGTGCGGGAGGATGGGGAATGAGAAAACTAAATGAAGAAAAATCATTGAAAAATCGAACAAGGAAATTTTCAGTGGATAATGGGCCAACAAAGTGAAAATTCCACTTCTCAGCTGCCTGGAGCTCCCAAGGCTTCCCCACACTGCAGCCTTAAAAAGCACCCTACTGATCAAATAATCCTGGAACAGGGGCCACCGACAAGACCAGGGGCTCAGCTAGGAGATGCTGTTCTCAGCATCTCCAAGCCCAGCCTGGGTCCCATGGTGGGGTCCAGCCCTAGCATAGGACTGTTCAGGAAATGTGTCTGGGGACAAGTGACTGCTCCTCACTGAGACTCAGTTTCTTTTTTCTGAAATGGGCACAAGAAATATCTCCCTCAAGACAGGAGGCCATACCCACAGGTGGCTGAGTGCCTGGCATGCAGAAAGTGCTTAATAATGGCTAGTTCCATCCCCACCAGGATCTGCTGGAGGAGGTGGCAGGCTACCCAGAGGCAGGGACACTGGGGTGGCTTGGTGAGTCTGGAGTCAGTCCCTTCCTTGGGCAGTTTATATTATGCTGTGCAAAACCCGTTGAGAGTTTTCAGAGATTCAAGCTGAGGTTGGATGAAGTCCTAAACAAGCCGTCTCTAGCACGCATTATGGGGCTCGGGTACCAGCCCTAGTTCTGTTGCTGGTTTGCTGTGTGACCCAGAAAAGCCCTGTCTCTTCTCTGGGCCTCAGCCTTAGGCTCTTATGGACACTGTCACACCACGTTGTTAGACTTAACACCCACGATTCATGGGCACAGGCCTGGCACAGCTGGAGCCACAAGGGGAGGGGGCATCCTAGGTCATGGGAGCTGCAACAGGGGCTGAACTGAAGGCAAATCTCTGAGTCTTCCTAAAAGATGACCTCTGGCCTCTGGGCTCTGTCTGTCACTGAGACACACACCTCCCTGGACAGGGATAGCTCTGGAAGGGGAGTGGAAGCCCAGAGGTGTTGCTTGGCCTGAAGCCCACAGCACTTGTTTATCCCAAGAATCCAAGGCTTTCTGGGAGAAAGGTTAAGTAATCTGATGACAACAGCAGAGCAGCAGCAGCCACCGCAGTCGCAGTGAAGCTCTTATCCTCCTTTTACACAGAAAGAAAGGCTCAGGATGGAGGTGAACTTGCCTGTGGTCACACAGCTAGGAAGTGGAGGAGCCAGAACTTGAGACCAAGTCAGCTAGACATCCGTTTTCTTCACCACTACCTGTCACTGTTTGTCAGAAAGGGAGTGAGCTCCCCATCAGCAGGGGTATACAGGTCGGGGCCCAGAGGAACCTGCCAGGAAGCCCACACACTGGGGCGTGGTGTTGGAGAAGACAAGGTTTAAAATCCCTCTTATCTGGGAGAACTCACTATCCCAGCAGAGCACCAGGGATAGCACCGGGAGAAGCTGGCCTGGCTTAAGAGAGAGGAGGAGGCAGTAGTGGGGCCACCAGCCACCCTGTCTCCCCAGCTCCACAGGGCAGGGAGAGGGGCAAGGGCAGCTGGACACTCTAACCCCTGCTCGAGCCACTCAACAGTTCATCCTGCAGGTCCCCAGTGTCCTGTTGCCTCCTTCCCTAAATGAACCCAGGCAGGCCCACGGCCCCCACGCCTGCTGGAGGGAAGCCTGGGTTCTATCAGAGCCACATGTCTGCTCTCCTGTATCCGCTCCCAGAGGAAGATGTTTGCAGGCACAGTGGGGGCTGCCCTCCAGCAGGCCTGGGGTCAGGCTTGGCGGGGAGGAGCTACTGCCTGGGAGAGATGACCTGGCCAATCACAGCTCTTGTGAAAAAAGGCAGAGGAACCAGCAGGAATGGGCACACACCATCATGTGCTGTGCTGTCGTCCTGCAGCAGGTTCGAGGTGCTTATGAAGGGACTGAATCCCCACGGCCAGCCCACCAGCTTGGTTCTGTGGCTGACCCACTTTACCGAGGGAGAAGTAAAGCCTCAGGAGGGGAAATCATTTCCAAGATCCAAGATCCAAGATCCAAGAGGAGGAGCGTGGATTCAGGCAAAGTCTGCTAAGCTCTGGCACCCACCAGCAGGGGCAGAGTGGGCCTGAGGCACTGCAATCTTGGAGTCCTTACAACCCCCTCGGAAGGAGGAATTAATGTCTCCCACCTGAGCAGGTGGGAGAAAGGCTCTAAGAGGCTAGGAGACCGGCCTGGGGTTCCACAGCTGGGAACTGGGGGTGCTGAGACTTGCCACTAGGCCCATCTGACTGCAGAGTCCTTGCTCTTTTCACTGGGGCCTGTGGGCCCAGGTTCTAGTCGGTATCCTCACCAACAGAGGATGAGCACCTCCCTTGCCCCTGGCCACAAACACTCAGCGCTCATTCTTCCTCGGGTGGGCAGTGGGGTGGGCAGCAGGGCCGGTCCTACACACAGGCAGGGAAGCAGGCAAGGCCTTGCAGACCTCCAGGCCCATTCCTCATGGCACATACGGGTAAACTGAGGCACAGAGCCACAAGGCCTTGCTAAGGGCACAGGGCAAACCAGGAGCTGATCAGGACTTGCCCAGAATCAACCTCTGTCACAGGCACAGTGGGTGCCTCTCTGGGTTCCCCACCCTCAGTCACCACATCGGGAGGTGGCCAAGCGCAGCAGTTCGGCAGGAGACCGACCCAGGGGGCCGATCTCATAGGTTGTGCATTCCTCACAAACCCAGCGGGGAGAGGAACTCATGTTCCTGATGCTCCCCTCTCAGCCCAGGAGACTTTGATGTGGTTGGAAGCCTGGGTTTCCTTAAGCAGGGATGCATTCTTCAAGCCACTGCTGGGAAGCGGTGGTGGGGATGTCTGGGGGGAGCCCAGTGAGTTGAGGGGCCTGAGCCTCGCATCTGAGGCAGGGCAGGGGGCCTGAGCCCACGCAGCCCACCCTCCAGGGAATCCAGCTTCCTGGGGCCAGAGGGGACGTACAGAGGATCTGGATGGAGCCTGGCTGCCCTGAAGCCAAGGCCCGCTTGAAGAGACCCAGAGGACATGGGCACCGGAGGGACCCTGCCGGGTCAGAGGAATGCCTCTTAATCTTCCCTCTCCCAGGCTGGCTGCTCAGGCCATCTGGTTTGTGGGAAATTTTAAAACCATTTGAAATCCAGCCAAGAGGAGAATAATAATCACAGATCCCCTGTATGGAGCTTGGATATCAGGCCTGGGCTGATACTACCTGGTCCGTCATACTTCCTCTTTACAATCAGGCTGCACGGCCCCACGCCTATATACCTAATTATGGCAGACCATCCTGTCAGCCCTCCCTGTGTGATTAAAAATGAGGCTGAATTAGGTATGCAAATAAGCCAGATTCCCTGGGTTCAAATCCCCGCTCTGCCACTTTTTAGCTGTGCAACTTGAGGCAAGTGACTTAACTTCTCTGTGCCTCTCTGGGAGTGGAGTGGAGGCTCAGAGGTGTTGAGACGTTGGCCTGAATCACAAAGCAACTTGTTTATCCCAGGAATCAAAGGCTTTCTAGGAGAAAGGTTAAGTAATCTAATACTAAAAATATAATAAAAATAAAATGGGCATGAGAGTAGCACCTACGTGGCAGGGCTGAGGATTAAACAAATTAATGTGTGTGACAGACAGTGTCTGGCAGAGTGTAAGTGCTGGCGATTACTCCCTGCGACTCAGGACAGCCCTTGTTTAACACCCTCTGCAGCCTCCCACTGCCCCTAGAGTATAGCCGCGTTTTTTGAGGCCATGTCTCGCTTGGTGCCTGCTAAGTTTTGGCCCCATCCCTCTCCCTCGCCCCTCTGTTGATCCTGGGGATCCCTAAGCACCCAACTCCTGTCTCACCTTCGGGCTTTCCCCTGCCCGTCCCCTGCTGGGAAGCTGGCATCAGCTCAGGCACTGCCCTCTCCTAACGTCCTTCCTTAGTAGCCTGCCGAGCTAGGGTCCTCCTCTGGGCTTCCAGTCTGCCGGTGTCCCCTCGGTCTGTGTGCTGATGACCCTCCACTGTATCACCTGTGTCTGCCAACTGATTTGATTCACTTGTTGGCTGGCTCACCAGGGCAGGCAGGGGTCACGTCTGTTCTGTTCACCATAGTATCTGCAGAGCCTCCCACAGTGGCTGGCACACAGGAGGTGCTAAATAAGTGCTGGTTAAATAAATGAATGAAAAGGAGCTGGTACCAGAGCCCAACGGCAAGGCTCAGAAATGAATTGGAAGGAAGGGTGGGGTCCCATCCCCAGAGCCAGGCCCAAGGTGAGCCTGGAACCTTGCCTCGTGCTGCAAAAGTCATAGATCCCAGAGCTGGGTGGGGACAGAGACTGGGCAGTCTCTGGCAGGTGGCCCTGTTCCAAATGTGCTCCCTCCCACCAGCATCAGCCCCCAGGAGCTGGGCCCAACTTACCCAGCGTCCCTTTGCTCCCCTCATACCTGGTGGGCCTCGAGATCCTGGAGGACCCTGGGAAGAGGAGAAAGAGTTTAGAGAGAGCCCTTTTCAGGAAGTGAGAGCAACATGGGGGGCCGGAAGTGTGGGGCGAAGCTTGAAGGCCTGCTGCCCTCAGATGGGCATGTTCAGAAGCTGCCTGAGCCTGGCGGCCTCCACATGGGAGGAGAGGGCACCTGGCTCATTGGGGAAGGCAGCTGGCAAGCCACATTTCCTGGGAATTGGGGAGAAGGCTCCCTACGTGACGTTTTCTTCTCTTTTTCCTCAAAATCAGCAATGAGAAGATACGATGCCATGCATTCATTCACTCATTCATTCATTCTTCATTGAGATAGGATCTGGTTCTGTGGCCCAGGCTGGAGTGCAGAGCCTTGAGTTCTGGGGCTCAAGCGATCCCCTGCCTCGGCCTTGCTACGTAGTTAGTATCGCTGGCATGCACCATTATGCCCAACAAGTTTTCTTATTTTTATGGAGACAAGGTCTCACTATATTGCCCAGGCTGATCTCAAACTCCTAGGCTCAAGTGATCCTCCTGCCTCAGCTTCCCAAAGTGCTGGGATTACGGGTGTGAGCCACTGCATCCAGCCTACAATGACAAGGACGACAAAAGGTTTCCTCAAATCCTCGTCTCTTTTTTTCTTCCCCATCAGAAAGGAGAATCTGGTGACCCAAGTTCTGTCCCTTGCCTCTGTCTTGACACCCAATAATTTCCTGAATATTTCCCCCAGGGAAGAAGGGGAGGAAGAACCTAGAACACAGGCCTGGGATGGGCTTGGGAGGCAGAGGGAGCAGAGTGGGAGAGGATCGAGAAGGAGAGAAGGACGGGGGAGGCCCGGGCAGAGAAGGGGGTGGGGTGGCATGAGAGGGGAGCAAGGCCCGGCCCCAAGCAGATGCCCAGCCATCTCGGTTTCAATGAACAGACGACAAGAGGAGCAAGAGAGGCAGGGCCAGAGGGTGAGGAACCAGGGCCTGTTTAGTTCCTGAATCCTCGGCACCTGGCCTGGCACCGATGCATGACAGGCACTGAGGAATCTTTTGAATGGACAAGGAGCACACGAACTGAAGAGGGCGAGGGTGGGAAGGGAGGAAACGCAGGAGAAGATGGGAAGCAGGCCACCCCTCTGCCCTGTCTCCCCCACCTCCACCCGGATTCCAGACCCCGCTTGATAGACCTCAAACAGCCACTTCCTCCACCGGCCAGCCAAGACCCTCTGCCAGCTGCAGGAGCCTCCCAGCTTCTCGCAGCGATTCTCGGGCTGGGTGTGCTCCCTTTGCAAGGCAGAGCCAGCCTTGTTCCTCCTCTGAATACCAGGGAGAGGCCCAGCCCCATTTGGGGCCTCAGAATGAACTCTTGACATTCCCATTTCCCTCTCCCCATGGCTTTGAGGGGTGTGAACCCTGCAGCTATCACCCAGCAGACCCTCTGACAGCTGCTGCGGAGGGTGGATGTGAGGGGCTGGGCCCCAGGCTGACCCTTCATCAGCAGAGCAGGCAGGGTGTGGACCAGGGCTTGGCCCCATAAAAGGCAGATCTGACTCCCGGATGGTGGAGAACACAAAGACTGGGTGAGAATGGGCCATTTTATAGAGTGATCTCAGAGCTCAGAAGGCATGCAATGCTCCGCTGGGAAGTTTCCGGAGCCAAGTCTTTACATCAAGGCATAGCGTGCTCCGAAGAGCAGGCTGTAGCGCTGGAGAACCCGGGCTCAAGTGCCAGCTGTGCTGCTTACTAATTGTGCCATCTTAGGCAAGTTACTTCGACTCATTGGGCCTCAGTTTTGTCATCTATACAATGAGGATAGAAGAGTCTTACCTCCTAGAGTTTCTAGAAGATGAAGTGACAAAGTCCTCAGGAAAAGGTAGCTACCTGCCTGCTCTTACAAGGCAGGAGGCGGTGAGAACTGAATGCTAGACCCAACTCTGGCTACTGGGTGACCCTGGGCAGGTCCCAGAGCCTCACCCCACCCCCAATAATGGGGATGATAATCTTGACGGGTCTCAATGTGCTATAGGACAATATGGAGGTGAAAGTGATTGAAAAAGTGGGAAAATGCCAATCAGGTGTGAACAACATCACCAGAAACGTCACTTTTCATGGTAGCTGTCTTTCTAATAATTGTGGCAATTATTAATTATAATCTCTAACAAATAGTTATTACCATTCATGAAGCGCATAGTTCTGCAGGAGGGTTGCAAAGCACTCCTTCAATGCACAGTGCCATCCCTCACGACGATCTCACACTGAGGGTGGCATCATGCTGACTTACAGATGGGGAAACTGAGGCTCAGGGAGACTATGAATGTTGCCAACAATCCTGCAGCTGGCAAGCTGGGAAGTCGGAATTTCACCCCCATATATCTGGTTCTGAAGGTGCTTTTCTGGGCCTCTGTGCTATCCAGCTTCCCCAGTGTCACTGGGAGCAGCTGTCTGGCTATAAGAAACCCCAAGAGATCCAAGGGACCAGCCCCATATCACAGCAGGGGCCACGGTATCCCACTCTCCCCGTGTTCCTGAAGCCCACCTTAGACTGGGCTCCCAGCCCTGAGCCCTGGTCTTGGCTGAAGCAAGTGCCCTTCCCCAGTTTCCATCCTCCATCGGCAGAAACTGAGGGACCTGAGGAAGCTCTACCTGCTCCAAGTGAGAGCAGCGCCCCACCCCCCACACATCACCTTGAGGAGAGAAGGGGCTCCCGAACTTGAGTGCTCCTGGCTGTACCCTCCCCCAGCTCTCCCAGCCTCTCCCACCACTCTCTGCCTTGGGAGCCTCAGGAATATGCCTGCTTCCTCCGTCGTCATGAGAAACCCAGGCCTCTGAGCACCTTCAGCCCGGTTTGTCCAGCATTTCCCATCTTCGTGTCTGCTTCTTCCATAGCAGACATCACTTACTGGGTTCTATGTACCCACTCCCCACACCAGACTACCCGTTCCAAAGGAAGGGCCCATTTTCTGCCTTTCTTGCTGCCATATCCCCAGCTCCTGGGACTGCCAAAACCCCATCTCTACTAAAGCCACAAAAATTAGCTGGTTGTGGTGGAACACGCCTGTGATCCCAGCTACACGAGAATCTCTCGAACCCGGGAGGTAGAGGTTGCAGTGAGCTGAGATGGGCCCCTCCCCACAGCTCCCGAAACTGCCCAGGCACTTATCACTCAGACATTACAGAGTGAATCAGTGAATGGACAGAAGCGATAATGCTGCTGGTAACCAAGATGAGCCCAAGGAACAAACACCACTCAGCAATGAGCGTCGGCCCACACTGTCATCCAACCACACGGTGACACTGTCATGACCATGAACAAACACCACTCAGCAATGAGCGTCGGCCCACACTGTCATCCAACCACACAGTCACACTGTCACAACCATGAACAACGGCCCACACTGCCATCCAACCACACGGTCACACTGTCACGACCATGAACAAACACCACGCTGCATGAGCATCGGGGCCCATGCTGCCATCTAACCACACGGTCACACTGTCACGACCATGATTATTTTGTTGTTTTTCAAATGAGCAAAATTCAGGCTCAGAGAAGTTACATGATCTGCCCCAGGAATACAGAGACTGTGTATCTGGGTTTCTATCCAGGTCTGTCTGATTCTGAGGCTGGCGCTCCTAACCCTTATTCTTTTTCTCTTTTCTTTTCTCTATCCCTTCCTTCCTTCCTTCCTTCCTTCCTTTCTTTCTTCCCTCCCTCCCTCCTTCTCTCTTTTCTTTTATTTTTCTTTCTTTTTTCTCTTTCTTCCTTTCTTTCACTCTTTCTTTTCTTTCTTTCTCCCTGCTCCCTTCCTTCCCTTTTCTTCTTTCTCTCTCCTTCTCTCTTTCTTTCCTTCTTTCTTTCCTTTCTCTCTCTCTCTTTCTTGCTTTCTTTCCTTCTTTCTCTTTTTTTTTTGAGACAGGGTCTAGCTCTGTGACCCAGGCTGGAGTGCAGTGGCATGATCTCAGCTCACTGCAACCTCTGCCTCCTGGGTTCAAGTGATTCTCGTGCCTCAGCCTACTGAGTAGCTGGGATTATGAGTGTGCCACCATGCTCAGCTAATTTTTGTATTTTTAGTAGAAATGAGGTTTCGCCACGTTGGTCAGGCTGGTCTTGAACTCCTGTCCCCAAGTGATCTGCCCGCCTTGGCTTCCCAAAGTGCTGAGATTACAGGTGTGAGCCACCATACCTGGCCGCCTAACCCTTATCTGACAGTGGTTTGAGCTTAGGGAACACGAGAGCGTTGGTTACCTGGGGTCCAGGCTCTCCAGGGGTCCCCATACCACCTGGCATTCCAGGATGACCCTGCCGAGAGAGAAGACAAAGGAGGAATCAGCTGCAGAAGGTGCCCGTTCCTCCTTCAGTCCCGCCTCGGTCTGCTCAGTCCCAAAGCAAAGCCAAGAAGACGGCAGCTAGGCCCAGCGGACAAAGAGGAAGCCAGTCATTCCGAATGTCTGGGGTGTGCGGTTCATGGAGGAGAGCAGAGCTGTCACTCAAGGCTGCAACAGGAGGGAGCAAGAGGATGCAGACTTACTCCTTACCATCGACCCCTTGGGTCCAGGTGCGCCTGGGGGTCCCATCATGCCACGATCACCCTGTGATGGAGACAGCAATGCAGGCAGGTCACGGCTATGGCTGTGGGGTGGCTCTGTGGGAGGCAGGTGCAGAGGGCCATCCAAAAGCTCAAAGAGAAGCAGGGGTTCTCTCAAGGCCTCTAGAGGGTCATGGCCACATCACCCAGGCAGGGACCTGGGATTTTACTCAGAGGAAGCCAAGACCTCTGGCAAGCCCCGGAAGGCCTCAGCATCCTCTGCAGCAGGCCATACAGTGAATTTCCCTCCAAGGATGGTCCTGATTAAGGAAGCGCTAATTACATTGTCCCCTTTGATCCTGGCCCACATCATGTGGTCCTTATTAGGCCTGGCATCTAGGATTGCTGAGGTGGAAACAGCAAAAGAAGGCATTTCTTTCATTCTCTTTACCCCCTGTCCAAACCTAGATGAGATGCTAGAGAATCAGAGACATAACTCATTGCCTCTCAACTGACAGACTGGGCAGAGCTGGCAGTGTAGCAGATGCTCTAGCCAGAAGGTAGGTGCTCTGGGTTTGAATCTTGGCTCTGTTTTTGTGAGACCCTGTTTCTTATATCCAACCAGCCAGCAAATATTTATTGAGTACCTACTATGTGCCCAACACTATCTGCGTGCCAGACTCTGAATATACAATGGTGAGTAGACCTGCTCCCATGAAGCAAAGCACTCAGAGGGTTGTAGGAGACATAGGGCAGTGAGGTTGGGGACCATGGTGTAAGGTGTTATCATTGGGGGACTTGACCCACTTGGGCTCAGAGCTGGTCAGGGAAAGCTTCCCTCAGGAAGTCTCTGTTGACCCAGAAGCTGAAGGATAATTAAGAGTATCTGGACAAAATGGGCGGGGGCAGATGGGAATGGGAAGAGTGGATTTGGCCAAGGGAAGGGCATGGGCAATGGTCTGTAGGTGAGGAGGGACAGGGGTCACTGAGCAACAGCAGGACGCCAGAGTTGGCTTTGATGTTGCGCTGTCATGATGTAAGATGCTACCATGGGAAGAAACAGGGTGAAGGGTACTACTTTTTGCAACTTCTTGTGAGTCTGTCATTATTTCAAAATAAAAAGTGAAATGTACAATTTCAAGATAAAAAGTTGAATTTCAAAGGAGGAGGGAGAAGAGAGGGAGGAGGAGGAGGAGGAGGAGGAGGAAGACAGAGGCCCAAGGGTCTGGGCCACATAGAGTGATAGAGTGACACACGAGAGGAGCCTGCAGAGTTAGGTGGGGCCAGGCTTGGGGGATCCTTCCTCCCTCTGGACCTCAGTTCTTCCATCTATTCAATGGGAATAACATTGGTTCTCCCAGAAGGCCTGCTCTGGGGACTGGATAAACCCACATAAAGGAAGGCAAGTACCTCCAAGGCCCTTGCTGGGAGCTGGGAGCCAATAAGAGGCAGAGCCAATAAGAGCCAATAAGAGTCTCTTAGTGAGCCAAGTGTAACTAACCTTTGGCAGTGAACCTGGTTCAAATCTCAGCACTGCCACTTACTATCTCGGTGACCTTGAGTAAGTCATCTCTCCTATTTGAGCCTCTGTTATCTCATCTAAAACAGAGGCTTAGCGAGGCAAGCTAAGGACATGCTCATGCTTCCTCTTTGTAAAGATGAATCTTTCCCTCCTTGCTCTTGCCCACACCTGGGCAGCACCAGTGGGCAGCCATGAGGAGCCCAGATCACATGCATCTGCTGATTGTTACATAGAAGTCTAACTGTGCTTGAGGCTGATGACAGGAGGGCAGGGACGGACCTCCGAGGAATGCCAGGAAAAGAAGCAATGGCTCTTGGCAAGCTCAGAATGCCAGGTCAGAAGAGAGGGTAGGGGAGGGTAGTCTGCAATCCCCAGGTCGAAGGTCCTCTTCTCCTTTTAAACATTTCAAAATGCAAGCTCTAATTGTGTATCTTTTCCCCTCAACACCACTTACCTTTTCTCCCACAATTCCCGGCTCCCCGACCAGACCAATGAATCCCATGAGTCCCTATGAGACACATTCACGAAAGCAAGAGAAACGATGTGAGATGTGAATCCGGGGACCTGGCCTGCATGCTCCTTCCCCTCCCCTGAAGCTCATCTCCCAGGTATCTCCCGCCCCTGCCCGGTCATCCGGCCGTGGCCACGTGGGGCTGTGCCTGGGAGCGCACTGCCTCTCTCTGGGCACCATCCTGACTTCCCTCACTCCACCAGATGGTTCTGATTTTGAAGCCAAGCAGCGGGGCCACTGCCAACATCCCTGGGAGCGCCACACATTCTTCCCGCACCAAAAGCAGGCTGGGAGGCTGCCACATTTGGAGAGCTGGGGCGGGGGGTGGCCCTTAAGCCGTACTGGGAAGAGGCCATCTGTCCCCATCTTTTGGGGGCTCTGGGGCTATTTCAAAGAGTGAAACAAACCCGCTGGCTGGGAGAGAAATACCGTAACAGCCTCCGCCAAGAGACCTGACTGGCATCGGGGAGGTGGAGCCCTTCTGACTGTCTTCTGAAAGGCCTAGGCCCTTGCCTTTTTCTGAAAGGGTGAACAACCAGACACACACGTGCGACTCCTGCTGCTCTGCTGAACTCTGCTGGGTGACAACTTGCCTGTGGGTTCCACGGGGTTCTTCTAGGTGGCCCCAGCCCTTGCTGTCTCCCTGAGCAGGCAAACACGCACACGTGCAGTGAGGGTGGACAGCCTAGAGGGGTCACCTGGGAAGGCCAATCAATTTCTTGTTCAGGCCCCACCCTCTTTTCTGCTAAGGAAAATGCAAACTGAGCGGGGAGGGCCTTGTGTGTTTCAGGAGTGCAGAAGTGGCTTTGGAAGAACTCAGATTGGCAGCTAAGAGGTTCTGGGTGAATTAGGAAAGATAAAGGGATGAGTGGATTTGTTCCATAAAATCCGCTCACTGTCCCCCAGACTGTCCCCCAAACCCTGGCCAGGGTAAAATGAGACCATGGGCCAGGAATTGGCCAGAGGTTATGTGCTCAGGCAATAAACCCAGCCTAGCTGTCCGTCAGCTATAGTGAGAGGGTTACCTCTGTGATCCACACTTTCTTATCTAAAGACAGTTTTAAAGTGGTCACTTCAGCGAGGGCCACACGTGTCTCACTGCTGCAGCCCGCGATGTCTGCTCTGGTTTGTGTGGCTCCAAAGACCATGGCACCTTCCCCTCCAGCCCAAGGCCCCCAAAGCATGTGGCTGTGAACAGGGCCAGGCATGGCACCACCCTGGCACTACACATGGTGGGTCCTGGGCCTGCCCCTGATTCCCTGGACTCGGAGACTTTTCTCAAGTATAAGGTAGGAGGGAGGAGGTACCAGGTATGAGGTCACAGCTAACAGGTCACAGAAAATAATTAAGTATTTGATTTTTGCAACAACTTAATTTTTAAAAATTAATTAGAGCATTTTCCAAGTGATAACAATATTACAGCAACAGCTTCGACGTATTGAGTACTTCCTGTGTGCCAAGCCCTGTACTTGATGACACTGTCATTCAGTCTTCAGGTGTGTGGGTTCTGGGCAAATCAGTCTCCCAGAGCCTCACCTGCAGAATGGGAGACAATCAAAGTACCCGCCTCGCTCCTGGCGTTGTTCTGAATACGGGCGCTAACATGCAATGCGTATTGGCGCTCCATACATTTTTGCTCTGTCCCATCCCCTCTTAATTTATTTTACAAGGGCACAGGGGTAAGACAGAGGCCTGAGCTTCCCACAAGGGAGCAGTCAGACATTTAGAGGATACCGAATGAAGGGAATAAAAACTGCTCTGTTAAAAGGCCCCTGCCTGACTGGCCCAGGGAAACAGAAATTTCATAGCTACTTTGAATTTATGAGATGCTCAGTCTGGGAACGCAAGCGGGTCATAAACCTCAAACAAGAAGCCAAACAGGATCCTAATGAATAACAGCCACACAGCAAGTGCCCCATCCTGACCCCCACCCCTGGGATTCCCCCTGGGGTACAGTCCCCACAACAGCCTGGCAGTCCTGTCCTTGAGGCTGATCTGGGGAAGCCAGCCCCAGAAATCCAGGCAAGTTGATGGAGAAGCAGATCTGAAACCTGCGGGCACAGCTGGCTCCTCTCAGGCGGGCAAGGCGGGCACAGGAGGAGGCAGCATTGTTACTCACAGTGGGCGCCACACAGGCAGGACCAAGTCCCCAGTTTTGGGGAGGAGGCTGGCCTGGTCCTCACATGGCCTCCAGAAGAAGGGCCATTGTCTGCTATGGGAGCTCTTCTGCCTCCTCTCCTACTCTAGGCATTGGGGATGCAGCTGAGAAGGGAAAGGCTATGGACCCCAAGCTGGACTAGACAGCTGAGCGTGGCGTGTTTACATGCATGGCTGCCCCTGGACAGCGCGTCTTGAAGGCAAGACCCATGCTCTATCCTAGCACTTGGGCCAGGGCCTGGCAAGCAGCCTGTGATCTGTTAGATACAAGCCAGGGCTCAGGAGATCAGAGAGATTTTCGGCCCCTTGAGGCAGGCGTTGGGAACTCAGCAGACCTCAGTGTCAATCTTGTCTGACAGTCACGCCTGTGAGATCTTGGATAAGTTACTTAACTTCCCAGAGCCTCAGTTTCTCTTTGCAAAATGAGGATAATAATACCTACTGCCAGAGACGATTGTGTAGACAGTAGTTGGCACAGAGTCTGGTTCCTAATGGGTGACTAATAAATGTAGCTGCTATTGGGTTGTTGCAAAAGTAATTGCAGTTTTTGCCATTATAATGGCACCGACCCAACACTGTGATTACAAGGAGATCCTGTGGTGTGAGCTTCAGAACTTTCCCAGGGATCCTCCACTTCTGCAGGGAATGCCCGCACTTTCACTGTGACCATATGGGGTGGGGGCCAAGGGAACGGCTGGCATGGTACCTCCAGGTGCCTTATAGCAGCCACAGGGGTCCAGCTCGGCCTCCTTCCGGTTACTGTCCAAGCTGCTGGGCAGCAAGCCGGTGCTCTGGTCACCAAATGAGCCTGGGCTGCTCCCAGCAAGGCTCCCACCCCTCCTGGCTCTGCCGCCATCCTGCTTGGTGGTGATCTTGGTCAAACCCGCTTCTCCTCCATAAATCCCAGATTGCCAACATGGACTAGAATCGGGGGTTCTAAATCTGGGGTCTCTGTCAGGCTGCATGAATGGAATTCAGAGGGTCCGTCAACTTGAATGGAAAAAAATTCTAACTCTAATTTTCATGAACCTCGAATTGAAATTTAGCATTTGTCTCAAATATGAGTGTAGGCAACAAAGCACAGTAGGATTACCAGGACCTGGGACTGTCCCAGAAAGTGATATGTCACATTACAATCACTGCTGCAGAGATCTCAAAATACATCACTAAGGCTTGGTGTTAACTTCAAAATTGAGGCCGCTGTTATATCTGCTGCTCGACCTCATCATCTAACGCTTTGCTAAAGAAGCATGTACAGGAATATATTACATTTTAACATATGTTCATAATTGCATTTCCATATAATCAGTTTCCTTTGTTTTTAATTTGATGCATTTACAAACTCTACTCTGAGAAGGGGATCCTTGGGCTTTTCCAGTCTGGTGAAGAAATCCAAGGCACAAAAAACAGTGAGGGCTCTTAGATTTCCAAGGATGTTTTGTGTTCTGAATTCCAAGACCCTGTATATCTATTTCCCGAGGGCCCTACCATTAGCATAACTATGAAATTGAATTTGCTGATCACATTGGCTTTTTTTTTTTTTTTCCAATGGGGAAATAGATCCAGGCCGCAGCAGCCTTTCCAAACTCCCGGGCTTCCCACAGAATGCGCTCGAATGACACTGGAAAGATTTCAAAAATCCAGGCCTCCCCTCCTTTAATTCCTTTCTTCCCCAACAGATGTTGCAGCCTAGTGAGGACGCCCATCGTGTGTGAGTCTCATGCCACTGACGGGGCTTCGTGGTGCAGCCAGATTCCTCTGCGGCCATCCGTGCAGCACCAGTCCTTCCGGCTCAAGGAAGCCCCGTCCAGGAATGAGCTCCATACTTGAAGGAGTGGAGGAGGGCCACACCTCTCCCTCTCAGAGCCCAGAGGTTAAGCTTTCAGGAGCCCCAGGACTGGGCAGGAAGGACTGAAGCTGTCCGTCCGCCCACCACTCAGAGCTGTTTCTCTGGACTTTAATTGAAGGTAGTGATCTTCAAACCTCTATTTTAATGACTAGTTGCAATCTCTTCTCTTCTTCAGACCTTGACCCAGCTTCTCAACCAGCCAGAGCCACTGGTTTGAATTTCATTTTCTATGTAATTTGGGGATGCCTAGACCAAGGGCCCTTGGCAAGTGATAACCCTTCAGTGGCCTTCGGCTTCCTGATCTATAAGCCGAGGGGAACACAAGCACATATTGCCAAGGGCTCTCGCAGTTTTAATGTCCTGGGACAGCAGGCACGTAACCTCTTTGGGCAAATGCACCAAAAACCTGCGTGTAGAATCAGGCTGTGGGGAGAAGCTGTTCTCTCTACAATCCACGTGGCTTTCTCATTCAGACACTGCCTCGCATGGATGTGAGGGTCACCGTCCACATCCATGAAAAGGGTAGAGGACTGAACCTGCCTCTGGAATTGTTCTGAGAATTACGCGAGGTGGTGCATGTAGGGTGCTTGGCAAAGAGCTTGGCAGAGTAAGGGCCCAATAAATGGAGCCATTCATTCAAACAGAGACTGTGGCTAACTAACCTGCTCTCCCACAGGCCCCGGCCGGCCAGGATCCCCTGGTTCCCCCTGCGAAGAGACAAAGAAGAGGATGGATCAGGATGGGAGACGGACGTCTAGACTTCCTGGGACTTCCCCAGGCCTGCTGGCCTTCATTGCCATTGGTGGGGATGATCCAGGGATCTTATTTCCAGTGTGTGGCCTTGGAGACCACCCCAACAAATGGCAGAGACAAAGGGGTACTTGGACAGAACCGCGGGCAGACATGACTCTAGTCACCCATTCCCTCTGAGGGGGCCTTGGCTTACTCAGCACCCGGATGTGTATGTCTCATCTAGGTCCTTCAGAAGTCCACTGCGTTTTGTGGAGGTGGAAAATGAGGCTCAGGGAGGTGAAGCGACCTGCCTGAGGTCACACAGTCAGCCAGAGGTAGGGCTACACCTGAAACCTTGATCTGCCCGGTTGAAATCCATATTCCTGGCCAGGTGAAGTGGCTCATGCCTGTAATCCCAGCACTTTGGGAAGCTGAGGCAGGTGGATCACCTGAGGTCAAGAGTTCAAGATCAGCCTGGCCAACATGGAGAAACCCCGTCTCGACTAAAAATACAAAAATTAGCCGGGTATGGTGCTACATGCCTGTAATCACAGCTACTTGGGAGGCTGAGGCAGCAGAATTGCTTGAACCCCAGAGATGGAGGTTGCAGTGAGCTGAGATGGTGCCACTGTACTCCAGCCTGGGTGACAAGAGTAAGACTCTGTCTCAAACACACACACACACACACACACACACACACACACTCCCACTGCAACAGGCTGCCCTATCACAGAAAGGGCAGGGAAATGGGGCATGAGGGTACCAGGGTCATAGACCTCAACCCACCAGAGCTCTGCCACCAGCTCACGGGTGGCTGGGGTGAGTATCCCTGCTCTGGGCTCAGCCTCCCCAGCTATAAAGAAGGGAAATCAGATGCATTTGTCTTCAAGGCTCCATCCCACTTTCACATTGGGTGGCCTCTCTCGGCCTTGCCTGCCTGTTTTATCCCATGCTGAGGTGGCTTCTGCTCCTCAGGCGGCCACAGCTGCCCGGGTCTCCCCATAGCAGACCCATGGGATAAATCCACATAGACAATGTCACCGCTCCCACCACAGAAACCCAGTTGGTATCTGAGGGAGAGAGGCCGAAACCTCAGACAGCAGGACGTGGGCTCGGGCTAGCCAGGAGCTTGGCACATACATGGATGTGGCTTACTGCAAGTCCGGGTGGAGACTTCTCCTCCTTCAGCTCCTTCCTGGACCTCGTGAAAACCAGGATAGATAAGTGGGCCATTTCCCCAGAAGGGAGGGAGATATGGATGACCTGGGCTCCCCCTGGCTCGGCCCTCATTTCCTATGGGTTTGCCCATCTGTAAACTTGCCCAGACGAGCTTCTGCTCAGAATGGCTGGGAAACTCCAACTCAAGTGGAGTCCTTGGAAAACCATGAAGTGAGGCTGCCCATGGGGTGAGGGTCATTTCTCTCCTACCTCGGGCCAGGTCTTTCTTGATAACATTTTTTAAAAACCCTATTAATATATGTACTGCCTATTTATTTGTGCATAATAGGGAAAATATAGAGGCCCACAGAAGAAAATGAAAATCTCCTATTATCCCACCACCCAGAGATAACCCCTGTCCACTTTCTAGCCTCTGCTCTGTGCATAAAGAAACAGGGTGCGGCTAGGCGTGGTGGTACACACCTGTAATCCCAGCACTTCAGGAGGCCAAGACGAGGGATCACCTGAGGTCGAGAGTTCAAGGCCAGCCTGATCAACATGGAGAAACCCCATCTCTACTAAAAATACAAAATTAGCTGGGCATGGGGGTGCAGCATGCCTGTAATCCCAGCTACTCAGGTGGCTGAGGCAGGAGAATCATTTGAACCTGGGAGGCAGAGGTTGCAGTGAGCCAAGTTCGTGTTGTTACACTCCAGCCTGGGCAACAAGAGTGAAATTCCATCTTGAAAGAAAGAGAGGAAGAAAGGAAGGAGGGAAGGAAGGAAGGAAAGAAGGAGGGAGGGAGGAAGGAAGGAAGGAAGGAGGGAGGGAGGAAGGAA